CACCCCCCACCCCTCAGCCAACTGGCAGGAGAGAAAGGGAAGAGTCTTTCTAAAATTTTGCTTAAGTGCAAAGTAAAATGTCAACCTGTGTTCTTTATTGAACTCCATCTCTTGGTGCCTGTACTCTTGTTCTCCTGCCTTTACATGCCAGTGCCAGCTTAGCCTGTTTTCTGTAGAAGGAGTAGCTTCTGTATGCGGAGCACTGGCTACATGCTGGACATCGTGCCGGGCATTTGGTATTTATTCGTTCCCTGAATCCTTGCACAGCTCTTGAGGCAGCTACCACCATTGTCCTCAGGAAGGGAACCTGAGTCTCATAGAGGTTATTTGCCCCAAAACAGTGAGTGTTAGAGCTCAGACTCAAATTCAGAGCCATCTGACTCCAAAGCACACGGTCTCTAACCACTGCACATGTTACCCTTTTCTCTCAGGCTCGTAATACTCAAATTATTCCAGAACATTGCCCAGTCTTTCAGGGAGTCGGCAAGTCTTCACGTGTAACATTTTGATGTGGAAGAATTGATGCAAGGCAGATCTTTGATCAGAATGCTGAGACAGGCCCTGACTATTTTATTTCGTGGTTTGTTTGACAGTTGCTTCTTCATTCAGATCTGCTTTAAATCTGTTCTTGGAAGGACTGTCTTTTAAATTGTGTTTAATAGATTCTAAGTGATACTCCAGGAAGATGTAAAGCTTCCAAAGAGCTTAACCAACCGATGGCCAATGCCAGGAAAATTGTCTGGTTTTGAATTTGGAGTTGCACCCTCCCTTCAAGTGCACACACACCCAATAGTGGAAGATTTGTGCAAATGTCCTGATTCCTCGGGTACAAGTGAAAAAATCCTTCAGCCCAGTTGACTGTATTTCCTCTAAATCTGCCTTTTCCTTCTTGACTTCTGATTTTTCTCTCCTCCCTCTCACCCAAACCTCAACGCTGGAGTTGTCTTTGTTCCTTTCTTCCTTGTCCTTCACATCCCAAACTAGTCCAGTAGGTTTTGCCTTTACACTGTCATTTGTACATGCCTATCTTTCCTATTCCACGGCAACCCTGCTAAATTCAGCCCTTGTCATCTCATAAATGATCTACATTTATCTCCATTTGCAAATTCTTTTCCCATCACAGCCAGATTAATTTTCCTAAAGCTCTCTTTTATTGTTTCACTGACTTACAGACGAGCCTTCCACAGCTCCCCATTGCCAAGTGGATAAAGTTCAAACGCTTTTCCTTGGCATTAGAGGCCTTCGCATCTGGCCCCAGGTTACCTGGCCAAATTTACCTTCCCCGGCTATCACACAGAAACCTGCTCCCCCAGACTCTTGTCTGAATGCATCTCATCCATATTCAAACCACTCTTGGTTGACAAAACATGTGCAGAGGACATTTCTTTATTTCCCAGGGAAGCTGTGTTTTCATGGAATTTTCCAGTTCGTAGAATTATTTGTGTGATTAGATGCTGTAACTACAACCCAGGAATTCTGAGCATCTGACCGGTGTTCCGATGTCTGCCTGAATCTGTAACAACAGTCCAATATACCGGCCTTCGGCCTTTCCTGGAGAAATTCAGTGACTCCAGATAAGTGTCAGTGTTCTCATTAAAGGAGAAACCCAACAATCCAAGTGGGTTTATTTTTCTAGGCTTATGTTAATAGGCGTATTGCTACACCACTCTAAAATAATGGTGCTTACACATCAACGGTCCTTTCTAAGCACCCAAAGTGGGGGTAGGGGGTCATGGAAAGAGCACTAGACTTCAAGTCAGCAGATTTGGGGTTCGACTTAATGCGTGGCTTTGGGAAAGTCACTTAAAGTTCTCTGAACATCAGTTTCTTCATCTCCAAAATTGGGATAATTTCCTAAGTTTGAGGTGAGAACCAAGTCAGGTAACTTGTAAAGGCACCTGGGACACACCATATGTCATCAATTCTCACCTTCACTTTTTCCACAATTAATATTTCTGACATGAAGACACCTGTGACATTCAGTGGCATCTGGCATTCTGTCATAGTTTCCCCCCCCCCCACCATATATTTTTGATTTCAGAGAGGAAAGGAGGAGAGAGATAGAAACATCAACAATGAGAGAGAATCATTGATCAGCTGCCTCCTGCATGTCCCACATTGGGAACTGAGCCCGCAACCCAGGCATGTACCCTTGACCAGAATCGAACCCGGGACCATTCAGTCCACAGGCCGACGCTCTATCCATGGAACCAAACCAGCTAGGGCCATTCTGTCATAGTTTTAATTGGTGTTGATTTTCTCTTTCTTCGTGGCACAAATATATTAGTGGTGTGTCTTAAATCCAGTTGTATCTTGGATTTGATGAGATGTGGTTGGTTCTCTCTCCCTCAGAGCTGTGCCTCATGTGGAGTGTCCATACTTTAGTCTGTTTACATCTATCTGTTAACCTTGTATCAGTCCTCATCACTGTTAAGTAGATTCTATGATTAACTTCTAGAAAGCAGAGAGCATATCATTTTTTGCATAATTATATAAGGTGCTGTATTTAACAAATATTGACTTATTGATGGTAATTCCACTTTTGAGAGCACATTGAAACCTAGGGTCTTCTGAGTATTTCAGTGATTTTGGTAAAAGCTGGGTCAAGGACTGGAAATACTGAGGAATGGATAACCTGTGTTAGGACATCAGTTTCTTTACATCATTGTTTCCTGTGGAAGATGCTGCTGCTTACCCCCTCGTCCCTAAGCCAAGCAGCCTCAGACCATTGTGGGGAAGCTGGCTCAGACGCAGGCCCTCTCGTCTGAGAGACCAGGTCCTCTCTGCAGATGCCAGGGTTTGGCCCTCTTTTCAACGAATCTGTGTCATGTTTTCCTTTCATGTTAATAGCCTCTACGTCAGTGGTTCTCAACCTGTGGGTCGCGACCCTTTGGCGGTCGAACGACCCTTTCACAGGGGTCGCCTAAGACCATCCTGCATATCTGATATTTACATTACGATTCATAACAGTAGCAACATTACAGTTATGAAGTAGCAACGAAAATAATTTTATGGTTGGGTCACAACATGAGGAACTGTATTTAAAGGGCCAGAAGGTTGAGAACCACTGCCTACGTGAAGGATTGGGAGGAGGATGAAGAAAATAGGAATGAACAGATGCACACTGCAGCCCTTTTCCCAGAGTGGACGTTTGCAGACATTGTCCACAGTCTCTGGCCCAGTATCTACCGTCCAACCACTCACTCATTCCCTTCTTACTTTTTTTGTGGTGACCCAACAGGTGAAGGATTTTATAAACTCAGAGCTCCTAGCACAGTTATATTCCTCAGAGGACCAGAACACTCTGATGGAGGAGTCGGCGGAGCAGGCCCAACGCCGGGATGAAATGCTGCACATGTACCAGGCCCTTAAAGAAGCCCTCGTGATCATTGGCGACATCAACACGGCCACCACATTCATCCCTGCCCCGCCGCCCGTGGACGACTCCTGGATACAGCACACTCGCAGGTAGGAAGTTGGCTCACGCACCCTGAGGCCTGCCAGGCTGGGGCAGTGCCATTTACTGGGAGTACTCCCCTGAAACTCTTTAGAAAAAAAGAGGAACAAATATTTAAGTTCAGCAGTAAGAGATAGGGTCAGGTCATCCCAACTCCTGTCAGAAACAAGCACAATGCATCAGCACAGTGGAATGTTACACAGCCAGTAAAAAGAATAAGACGGGTCTATAAATACTGAAATGAAAAGGTAGTCAAGTTCCAGTGAAGCTTAAATAAAAGTAATTTATTTATAGAGAGAGAAACTACTGTAGAATATAGTTACAAAGAAACTACTATTGGCTGACTCTGTGGAGTGAAGGGGTGGGGGAGGGAAACTTCCCCTACCCTTTACCTCCTTATTATACCTTTAAACATTCCTAACATTTATCTGAGTTTCTCAGCCAAAAAATAATTTTTAAAAAGCCATCAGGAAGTTACAAAATGTGTTTTTAAGATGCAGAGAGAACGTAGGAGTGGTAAACCGTTGGTCTCTTTCCCAGGTCGCCCCCTCCGAGCCCCACCACCCAAAGGAGGCCGACACTGAGCACCCCCCTGGCTCGGCCTGGGTCTGGCCGAGGGCCCCCTCCTGCCATCCCGTCCCCAGGACCCCACTCAGGGGCTCCCCCAGTTCCATTCCGGCCGGGCCCATTGCCGCCCTTCCCCAACAGCAACGACACGTACGGAGCCCCTCCGCAGGTCCCCTCTCGGCCCACCAGGGCCCCTCCCAGTGTCCCCAGGTAAGTGTACTGCGCGGAAGACAGTGTGGGGTGCTCTTCGGTTCTCTTTTCGTAGCACAACAGACAAAAGTTACTTGAAAAAGAAAATTGCAAAGATAGTATCATACACGTTTGCAGTTTTCACCTGGGAGGGGAATCCTGGGGAATTGCTGAGTTTTACACCATTTAAAAACCAAAATGTGGTCTAAACCTCTCCTTTATCAACTGGCACAAACTGAAGGGGCCCCAAGAAAACTGGGTCGAAAAGATTGACATTTTGGCAGCTGTTTGTAGAATTTAATGGAAAGCTTTGAAATGAAAGAGCCATGGCTGGGCTGAGGCAAGCTGTGTGCTCCAAGGTCGTGAACCTATCACCAGCTAAGTCCTCACCTTCTCTGTTACCAAAGGAATTCCCCAAAACCACTGACTTCAAGGATTATTATCCATCTGCCCTCTGAACTATGACCCTTAAGCCCAATATCATTAACATTAATGTAGGCAGCATAAAAATCAGCTGGTTAGTCTGTAATTATTTTAAACTAGCATAGAAATTTTACGTAGGCATGATGCTTGCTGTATGCAGTCGTTCCCCCCACACACCATATAAGAGACAGAACACTGTACCTTTAAATTAGACATTTTGGCATTTATAAGCAGATTTTTGCCTCAATTGTAAAACAAAATAGCTGGCAAATAAATGGAGCTTGAAACATGTATATAGTTAAAGCTAGATTCTCACCTTCTTACATTTACAATCAAAATATGAGCAATATGTATAATTAGAGATTTATAAAATAGAAGGAATTAGATTTTTAAGAATAATAACACATTTTAAAAGGAAAGAAAATTAGCTCATATAGAAAGTTCATTTTTAAAAATTCAATTCAGAGGATTAAAATATGTGTATGTGCCATGAAGGAAAACTTGACTAGACATTTAGCAGAAGTGACTTCCACCCACCCAGGAAACCTGAGTCCCCTCCCGCTCTGATTACCATGACTACATTTATTGGGATCTTCAGGGGGCCAGGTGCCATGAAGACACAGGCCTCTGAAACTAGTAAACCCAGGCTCCTGGAGCAGGAATGGTCGGGATGTGGATCACCCTTGCTCTGCCACAGACCGTGGGCAACTCACCTAACTCTGAGCAGCACATCCTCATCTAGGAAACGGGGGACACATTCAGCAGGCTGTTGCCCACGTCATGTGAGATGAGGTGTTTGAAAGAGCCCGGGAAACCGCTTTTATGGGAATGTTGTTACCAATATCATCATTCTGGTCCCAATCAAAGAGGATATAACACTCTTAAAACTTAAATTTTTTTTCTAAACTCAATAAAGTTGGCTTATTATTTTTTTGGAACTGAACTAAATTCTAGTCATCACATGAATAACAATAGCTAATGTTTCATGTGCTCTCAATAGATCTAGGCTCTGCCCTCATTGCTTTGCAACTACATTTGGGTTTAACACAACAAACCCAATGAGATGGGTCATTATCCATTTTGCAGACGTGGCACAGAGGTTAAGCAACATGCCCCAGACCGCTCCCCCAGGCCCTGGAGGAGCTGGGCTCCGGTCCCCGGCAGTCTGCCTGCAGAGCCCCGGCCCCCAACCGCAGCACCAAGGGATTCTCAGCCCCGACACTGCTGACATGTTTAGCAGCATCCTGGCCTCTTCCCACGAGATGTCAGTTGCCCTCCCCCAGTGTGGCTACTAAAAATGTCTCTGGACGTCCCCAATGCCAGGGGTGAGGAGCAGAGAGCCCCCCTCACCGCCTGAGAAGCTCTGCCCTACAGGGTCCACTAGCCTCTCCCGTGCATGTGAGAAACATCCACGTCAGTGCCGAGCCTCCTACAGGCCAGATTAAACTAATGTTTTAGGGAACCTCAGATTGACTGGAACAGTGCCTGTCGTTGTGCGAGGAAGGTATGGAGACCACTGGGGACTGAGGGCTGGGGTGGGAAGGCGGGGCCCCATCCAAGCACCTGGAGCTGGCCATCTTATCTGTTGAGCTACAGGAGGGAACCAGAGCGACCTGGTGCTGCCTGTCCCCCGACGAAAATGCATGACTTTGCCTGCACGCTTGGTTGCCTTGGCCCCTGCTGCGGAGAAGCTAGCATGCCAGTGCCCTTCAGACATACTGTGCCATGTTTGATGGGGTGGGGTCGCCCTGGGTGTTTCCGAGCTCGCTCGCAGGAGGCGGTGGCAGGAATCTGCATGTGCCTGTGTGGTTTTCTCCCAGCTGGAGGGAGGGGACACCAGGTTTCATGCGTCTACGTTTGGGCATTTATAGGACAGCAGTTGTGTTATTCAAAATTTCTAGAGTATTCTTAAGTTAGAGACAGACTTAACTCGATCTGGCCTTGCAGAATCTCCAATGTGAAAGAGGAGAAAAAGTTCACAGTGTAAGAGGAAAGGGGGGTGTTTTGTGCTGAGCCCTCAAGTTCAGGCCAGTTAGGGGCGCTGGGACAGAAATCCTTGGGGAGGGGCCGGGTACCTGAGAGAGTGCAAGAATGACTCTGTCAGGATCCGTCTGCCTATTCAAGTTTAGCTTAAGATGGAGAATTCTGACCACATAAAGTCTGTTTTTAATAAAAGCCAGAGCAGGAATCCTACCAAATGCAAGCCAGAAATGGGGTTTAAGACTTCAAAAAAAGAAAGAGAAAAAGAAAGACAGACAAAGATGAAAGAGAGAAAGAAGAAAGAAAGAAAGAAAGAAAGAAAGAAAGAAAGAAAGAAAGAAAGAAAGAAAGAAGTTGAGGGAAGCTCTTGTTGAATTTTCACCTTGTTCTGTTTATTTATATTCTCTTTGCCCTCCCTGATTTGCCTACATTTTTTCTATGAAAAACTTTAAAAAGCTGAAATGCCATTATCCATCATCTCCAGGAAGACAGCCCTTCGCTTTATGAGAAGGAAGTTTGAGTCCCCCCACCCCCACCCCAGTTCTTTGCTTTCTTAAGGGCCCTTTCTCCTCTTTTATCTGAAACCAGAAACTCATAAAATGACAGGACAGCATGGGCAGTGTCCCGCCGGCTTGAGGGGGGGGTGGGCAGCGGGGGGTTGGGGGGACTTAAGATCACAAAGGCCATACCTGAATCATTGGGCATGTGCCTGTGCAGTTTTCTTCTGGATAATTCCCAACTTCATTAGCAAGTTATGATCTTGACTTTTAAGAGCCTATACACTTTTATTTTAACCCAATTCAAAGGTAATGAAAGCACATGAATTGTACAGAAACCAGGAGCCTTCTGCTTAAAAAAAAAAGAAGAAGGAAAAAATATGATTCTATCTTTCTATTGCCATGTAAAGACAGAGGGAGGACAGAGGCTGGTGGAGTCACTTTTGGCCCAGCTCTTCTCAGCTGCTCAAGCTGTTCTGGTTCATATGCATGGAGCCTTTCAGGGAGGGAGCTGGAAATATTACAAACTACACGCCTGTTTTAATTAATTCCACCTGAACTTGGGGAGTGTCTCGGTCCCAGAGAGACTCACCAGCACGGATACTTCTGTCATTAGTAACTTGAGTTTCACAAATCCGATGTGTGGGACATTTTCTGTTGCCAGAGTATGTGGGTCGCCCCTCTTGCCCCACACAACCTCTGTGGAGGGGCTGAACCTGTTTGACAATCCCAGCCAGTCGTGTCCTTGCTCAGCAAGATGATCTTAAACATACATCACCACCTGGTGAGGGGTCCTGTTCTCTTACTTGAAGCTCCGAACTCTTCATCATGCACTAACTTTAGGGCCGATGTAGCTATTTTCAGTTACAACTTGGTAAAATTAGGTAATTGAGAATCACAGCGTTGGCCATGAACAGAACAAATGAACTGAATCGGAGTGTTTTCCCTGGCAACAGCCGATTCTGGCGTTATTTCACGCATTTGTCTTCTCCCCTTTCCTTGGGCTGAGCTATTTTGCAACCGTCAGAGGGGGATCAGAGTGGGAGGAAGGGTCTCTATCCAAGGAAAAGCAGACTTCATTGACCTCACCACTCAGTCTTCTGTTTTTAAAAAGGTTGAAAAATACAAGTACTGTCTTGTAACCACCCTCCTCACCAAGGCTGGTGGTGTCTTCTGAAAATGGCAAAACTGAATCATAGGCAAGAATGTGGCTTTTCCTCCTGCTCGTCCACATGACAGTAACACAACATAGGAACCAAGAAATGCTCCACTGAAAGTCTCTGGTGAGGCCCCACGGGGACACTGGCATCCTGTGCCGCATGATGGCCCCGGGGTGACCTCCAGATTACCCCAGGGTTTCCCACGTATGTCCTCTCATTTAGGCGGTTTCCTTGACTCTGCAGGGCACACATTGAGCCCCACCACAGTCCCACATTCTCAGTAACTCACCACTAAACCAATCATGGCAAACGATACAGAAATCCCTCTGCACAGAGACAGTCTGTGCACTCACGTTCTGTTCTTTACGGAGATCAAAGCCATTTGGTTCTCTCTACCGTTTAGTTCATTCCTACTATAAACGTTTGACCTGCTTGCCCCAATGGGCTATAATTCCTTCACGTATTTCATATGTGGATTCGATTGACAGTTAACACAGAGTCCCTTTCACTTATGGGTAAGGTCTCCTTGTTTTGTTTTGTTATTTCAGCCAGTCCCCCAAAGTGTGAGTAAAGACAAACCCACAGTTCTTATGAGTGTCTTTGCATCCCTAACATCAAGGTTTGGTGCCATGAAGGATGAAGCAGCTGAACCTTGAAGTCGGGGGCACAGGGCCCACGGACAGTTAAGCAACTCGTGTGACTAGCCTGTGTCTGACTACCCCGAGCCATGTCCTGGGAACGTCCCGCCTTGCTCTCTCCTCAGCAGCCCTGTAAGAGTGTGACTCCTCTTAGCAGCTGGGTGCTATTTGGACAGATGATGAACTCGTCTTGTGATTTCCCATCTCAGCCACGCATGAGCTTTCTGTTTTCCCCACCGTCCTTCCCCTTTAAAGAACAAACAAATAAATTCATGATTAGGAATTTGGATTTTTTTCAGGGAACAGTTTTTATTTTTAGCAACTGGCTTCAAAAGTCAAAAAAAAAAGTCCTTTTTTTAAAAAAGGTATGATTGCCCAGAATAAAATCAACTCTGAGGTATTCTTCCTGATTCTTAATATTTCAGGCATCTCCTGAGGCTACTGTGTTCCAAAATTTGTTACTGAAATCCCCAGTGTAATTAATAACTCATTGCAGGTTTAACATGAGTTGTCATGGTGCTTAATATATTTTGATGAAAACAGAAATTTGGCCACAAGCTGTTCACTAAAGAAAATGTCCGATTTTGTTTCAGCCCCTCAATTAACTATCCCATCAAACTCCTTCTAGTTCCACAGTGACTGTGGTTGTAACATGATAGTTCAGTGAGGAGGATCAATGGGTAATGTCGGAATGCTTCATTCTTCGGGTCTTGGTTTCAATCTGGTCTCAGTGAAGTAGGTGGTCTCCTCCTTGGGTCTAGCAACTTGTATCTACGCAGATGTCTCCAATCTGCCACAGCTCAGAAGGATGGGTTCTGTGTAGACGAGGCCCAGGAACAGAACTGCAAGTGTTCCGAGGACCAGAATTTGGGAGCTTTGTGTGTGTGTCAAGGGAGGCTTCTGATTAGGCCTTTCTGTTTGCAGTGTGTCCTTTATCTCACTTTCCCAATCACCCAAGGTTGCAGGAGAGTAAGAAAGGAAGGAAAATAAGAAAGGATCTGCAGGAAGCAAAGTACAGGCAACACTAGTACCGGCAGACAGCAGTAACATCGCACAGTACGTCGCTGGTGGCCCAGTGGTGGCTGGCATTGGGTTAACCAGATACAACTGCTTCCTCGTCCTAGGACAGATCGCAGCAAATCGCCCTGGCATTGTCCCATTTGGGGCCCTAAATTGCTAAGCTTCAACCACTGCAGACAAAGCCTTTCTGAGTCTCGGTACCCAGCTCTGGCCTAGGTTTCACCAGATTGATAAGAGGAAGACAGCCAGGGTGGGAGCCGGGCCGTCGGCCACTGACCAGTGAAAAATGCCCAAAACGATTATTCTTCCTCTAGCCAGTCAGCAGCAGACTGCCCCCATCAGCATCTGCCGACTGTTCCTATATACAAGTTGATGTCAGCTCAGAGGGGAAAAAAAAAGAGAAAACTCTACCCAATGTCAGCAGACACACAAGCTTAAGCTGGCTTTATCGCTGCCCCCTTTTGTCTCCCTCACTGCAGAAAAATAATGCTTTTCCAGGAAACGTTCACGTGTGGGCAGTCACGGTTAGACGGCATGTTTTTCCATGTCTTCCCGGTTTCATGGCACAACACAGTTCCTGGCTTTTTTCACCTTTAAATTTTACCCAAGCAGCAGATTACCAGAAGGAGCTGCTGGATCCTTTTTCCTTCCCTCTGACTTATCTTAGACGTGGACTTGAGGTTCCCGGAGTTGCTTTCGCCAATAAACAGCCAGGAAAGTGAGCGTGAAGATAGAAGTGCTGGTTCTTCACTCAGAATGTGCTTTGAGTGCCTGCCTCCCGCACTGTGAGGAAGGATCTGAGGATTTAGCCGAGGGCTCCAAGGCTGCTGTCTGCTGGTCATTTCTTTGTTGCTGCCTAAACATAGGATTCTAAAATGCCTGACACTGAAATCCTTTAGTTTACCCAGGCCCCAGAGCATTGTAACCTTTGTCTGGGGGAACCTCCAAATCTAAACACATATTTATACCCTTTAGTTGCCAAATGAAATCCATCTGCCTTACCAAATGCTGTTGCCAAAAGAATATTACACTTCGGGTCTGGCCAGTATTTTTAACTGCGGGGGAAACGGGACGGTGTTGGAAGGGCCTCGAGTTTGAGAGAATCTGCTTGTGTGTTTTTTGATGCCGCATTACTGGTATTCAGAGGAAGTTTAAGTCATATGGCAACTCTGACCAAAAATAGGAGAAATTCTACATGGGACGGAGTCTGAAGCCTCAAGGTATTTGGGCAGTCCTCCCTGTGGCGTGGGACTTGCTTTCCCTCCGCTGCTTTTTCAGCCATCAGAGCCACATGATAGACACAACCGCAAATAACAAGTGCTCTAATTTCTGGAAGGACTTTCTAACTGTTCCCATAAACACGAGGAAATGTCCACCCTGCTTTCCAGTCAGAATTATCAGCTCGCAGGAATGGTGCAAAGAGCACACGTCCCGTCCAGGGAGCATGCTTAGTCAATATGGTAAGTGCAGGATGAGCCCTCAGTCCCTCATCCTCAGTGGCAAGGCCAGGCCTTCTCGACTTGAGAAGTTCACAATCCCCAATCTTCCTAAAGTTGACATTGCCCTTTAAACACAGAAAAATAGGATAAGGTGTAAATACTTTTCTCACTGCTCTTCTAGGAACCCAGTAAGTGTGCAGGTTAATATAAAATCTAGAAATAAGCTTCATTCCTTCCCCGTTTTTGTGTGTGGGAGGGTGAATGAACCAACTGAGAGGGGGAGTGAGGTGGAGATGTGGATAGTTACCAACTAGATAAACCGTCACCAGTGAATCCCCAAGTTTCTATGGCAATTTTTAAAAACCAAGAGGGGGTGAGATGGTGTGAGAAGACATCAGGTGGCTTTTAATATGACATAGAAAATGAACTTATTTTTCAATCAGATACCCCCGTTGCCTCCACCATGTGAAGACTGCCTCCATTTAGTTTCAGACTTCCATGAGGCAGCTTTGATTAAATGTATTTTGGTCCATATATAGGGCATTCTTCTAGAATGAGACCTCTTATGAGAGTAGGAGATGAGAAAGACTTTTACGGCTACTTTGCCACCCAGAGAGACTAAAATGAAAGTAGTCCCCTTGGCAATGGATATTTATGTAAGATATATTCTGGACCATGTGTATTTTTAAAGCTTAAATATCAGGATCATTCTCAAAGTCAATTTTAAGAGTGAATGAAAGTTTCCCCTTGAATAAATCTCCGCTCAGTGTCATGTTCAAGGGCCTTAGCCAGAAGTCAGCCCACTTGCTCTCCCTTCAGACCATGGATGAGAAGCTATAAAAACTCTAGAAAAGATCTACTGATTTCTAAAACAACTAGAATTTAATTTTGCTGTTTAGTAGTGTTGGAAAATATTTTAATAACTAAAATAATAAAACTTCATGGGAAGCCAATTCTACCTTAATTATCACCTCGGGGTGGAAAATTAAAGAAATATTAGTCAATGTGTTAACTAGAGAAACCACTGCCATAATTTGCCTCCTCCACGTATCTGGGTCTAAAGTCAAAATAAAGCCACATACCATTTGGGGGGGGGCGTGTGGAGCAAGCGTGAAGTTTTAGCTTTAACAGCAGTAGTATCAGAGCATTCAGGACATAAATTCATGGGCCAGAAACACCCCAGTGGCTCATCAGTGCCCTTCCATAATTTAAATGCCTACGGCTTAGGAAACGGTAATGAGGGATGTTGATTTGTTTTAATATTTCAATACCCTCATTACTATCATAACACTTAGTACTTGAAAACTAATAAAAATACTGAAAACTCAATTTACAACACCAGCATCTTTGAATAAACAGGTTGAAATAGTGTTTCTCACTTTTGCTTGAAACATTGTGGGATTGATTACATCTTATAGGTTTCCTTCTTTTTAAATGTTCTCGCCTCCTCACACTCAGAACCTTCTCTCCTTATGCGGCTATTTGATATCTGTTGTTCACTCATAGTCATCCAGGTGACTGAGCAGGAATGCACACTCATGCCAATAACCATTGTTACTATCCTTCCAAAATCCCCTTCCTTGTAGAGCAAGGCATCTCAGAACCATATTCCTAAAGGCCACAAGGAAGCTTTACAATTTATGAATACTTCCAACATCTTCCCAAGACTGTTCAGTTTTTAGTTAAAATGTTGTTTTTATCATTAAAGTTTGATTTCCTGGGGTTTTTCCCCCTATGGATCTCATACCACTCTGTTCAAGTGCCTTCTGAGATGTAAAAATACGTAGCTAGAATAATGAAGGTAGCACTGACCATCGTCTCCAGTTCAGAAAGCAGCGTTAAACCGGAAAAGCAAGGTTTTTAGACCATCCCTCCATTCTGTATTCTCTCTGCTCAGGACCCCAGCCCTTCCCACTGCCCATGACTCGCAGTCAGGCCCACACCCCATCATTTAGGACAGTCTGCCTTTGGTTACTTAGGAGGGACACCTGCCTGCTCGCCGTGTTTGGCAGGCCGGCAGGATGAGGTAATCATCAGAAGAAAATGTTCTGGGTCTTTGGCCTCAACCACGTACAACATTATTCAAAAGCGTTTTCTGGGAGTGGGGCCGCAGTGGCTTTGAGATCCCCTGGTGGCACATTCTGTAGGAGGATGGAGGAACAACACTGTCAACGTTTCTAATCCCTTGGAGAATAATGGAGATGGAAATTCCATCTGCCTTTGCCTTTCCTTTCAGCGATGTTTACAGACAGATGAGAGCCTTTCATTTGTAAACATCGTGGCTTTCCTCTCTCCGTCCAAGTCCCGCCATCGTCTTTAAGCTCGGCTCCCATGCTCCTGAGAGCAGTGCGTTCCTAAAAGCAAACTTTGCAAACTATTTCTCCAGGACGATGGCAGTTTTTGTAAGACAGATGCCTCAAAGACATATGGTTTTCATAGATTTTTCCGTCTAGACTAGCTTTATTTAGTGACTTTGGGTCTGAATTGGCCTAGTTAAAGTTTCTGTAGGAGCTTGTATAAAAATTTTAAGTGTGGGCATACCACTAAGGTGTAAAACAAAAAGTTTGACTTCTTCTTGGCCAGAGATGAAAAGGGGTCCGCTGAGAATTTCCTTCAGGTTAAGTAATTCTGATCCTTCTGGAAGCCCAGTGTGTCAGCTCCCACAACACTGTCCAAAATGGAAAGACTTACCCTAAAAATCTGATAACTGCTAAGTGCATATACTCCTCAGTTTTCCTGAGTGAATGCTTTGTGTTCCAGTTGGGCTGTGTGTGTGTGTGTGTGTGTGTGTGTGTGTGTGTGTGTTAGAAAGCTCTAATTCTTT